TTATCATTCTATTATAAGAATATAAATAGCTTTACTTCTTTCTTTTGATACAAATTGTTTTTTCATGCATCCTTGTTGTTCATGGGTGTTATATTAACTGACGCATTAATTATTCTATTTAATTTCGACAAACATGAATATATTATAAATAGAAGAAACAATTGTTGTGTACAAATTGTTATTTATACCGAGTACCGAATCAAAAGATTCGTTCCCCGGGTCGATCTCACGAGGAAGGCGGTTCGAAATCTAACTTTGGTATCAATCACACACAAAAAGAAAAATAAATCCTAAACATTCTAATCAGATAGGGGAGGAATTAACTATCAACTAAGAAATAGCATAAAAACATAAATCCTAAAATACCAACTAGATAATAATAAAGAAACTAGGGAATCGGAGATAATTTATTCAAGTTCCCACCCGAGCTCTGTCATCAACCTCAGGGATAACGAGCACATCCGTGGAACAAGTCGAGCTAAATCTGGCCCACTTGGTAGCACACTGTAATGGCTCCGAAGGTGAATGCTCCATCTTAGTAACGGGAGGAGGGACTCGAGAAATGGTGACGTGAAATTCTTGGTCAAGTCCATGAATCTCCTCCTCCGAAATATCGTCGTCCTGCTGGAGTGCATCATCTTCCTCTTCGGTCTCACACATGTGCATCGGAATACATGTTTGGGCACCAACCATAAGATGGGAGTCGTCGACTTTCAACTTGATAGAGTCGAGACGTGCTGTTAGATTCTCCATTTGAGCGCTCAGTCGAGCACACCCGAGCTCAATCTCCCCTTCTCGGTTTGCTTGGGCCATCATACGATCGAGGATGAGGTCAGTTTGGCGTTGTATCCCGAAGAGTCATCCTCAAGCTCATCGAAAGGTATAAGCGCCGGATGTGGGTCCCCAGCCATGGGCTCATTGGCTCATTGGCTCGTGACTCGATAGAGTCGATGCGCCTTGTTAGACTTTCTAATTGCTCGCTCAAACGGGCACATCTGAGCTCAACCTCCTCTCTTCGGCTTGCTTGGGCCATTACTCAAGATAAGATTAGATCAAGTTTTTCGTTCAATGCGACCTATTCTTCTCGAGCTGATTGAGATGTTATAAAATCAATAATTCGGTCGAGCTTGATGTTGGATTCGTGGGACTCATAAGACTGCTCGACCGAGAATGGATCCTAGTAAGAGTATGGATAAGGTTGGTAGTGATGCTCGGTGGATCCTAGTAAGAGTATGGATAAAGTTTTTCAATTATTATGTATAGGATGTGCTGTTAGGATATTTACGGTCACCATGTGCGTTAGTTTGATGATGTCCCCGGAATGAGTTCATGAAGGATTGTTATGCTAAACCCTGCAGGTGGATTAAGTTCCGGCATAATAAAAATGTGATGAACGAGTGCTAGCTTCGGTGAAATAATAATAAACTAATTAACTCTTGATTGTCAGTAATCGAATTAATTAATGGACATTATATCTTAAACATGGGGAGGTAAATCGAGTAATTATTATTGGAGTCTCAAATGTAATTTAGGCTAGGAAAAAAGAGTGCAATAATATAATGTTGGTGGCCCATTAATATTATTTAATTAATTAGAGGAGTGGGCTTGGCCCACAATTAGTCTAATTAATTAAGGAGCCCTTTTCCTAATCTCCTAAGGGTCTCTACTGTAGCTCTATATATACATCATTAAGCTCATGAGAAGAGAAGACATCTGTCATTATTCATAATACACGCCCCACGCCTCTCTCTCTCTCTAGATCTCATTCGAGCTTTATCTTCTTCTTGTTGCTCCACTGGTACAAGTTGAAGAAGGGTGTATTGAGTAATACAGTAGAAGATCTGTAGGTAAACTGAGACGAAATATATTTTGACCTACAGAACTAACTGAAGGTCCGATTGAGACGCACAGCATACCCAGACGACCGTCTCGACGAGAGCTTTCCACGTCGCTGAGATCGCCGGATTCCGACATCTCATGCGCGACGAGCTCCCGGGCTGCAAAATTTCGTTTTGATCTGTTTGCATCCGTTTGATCCGGTTTTGATCTGATCTTGTTCGTGCAACCCAAGACGTGATTTGCGGTCAATCAATTGCGGTCAACCGTTCGTGGTCAACCAAATCTACATAAATTTTAAGTCATAAGTTCTCTATGTCAAACCTTTAGATCCGCTGCGCATAGGTTTACGTTTGCTATTGAATACGTGACTTGTACATAACGAGATCCTCACAGATCTCAACAAAAACATGACTGTCATTCCATCCACTCCAGATGTTTTATCATTGTCCATGTCCGTTAAAGCCCCTTTGATTTCCTCAACCGCAATCTCTCTAGTTAATCGAAGGTTCAAATCAAGAGTAATTGAAGTGGGAATTCCTTCTAGGCTGCAGTTTTCAGTCAAAGGGTTGGATGCTGTGCATAGGGTTTTGAAATAAGTGAGGATTTCTTCAAGAATCTCATGTTTACTACCACAAGTGGACCCATCAGCTCTCTGAAGGACATCAATATTGTTCATCCTTTTTCTCTGGTTATCATTTTTTTTGAAAAAATTATGTGTTCTTATCACCTTCTTTTAACCAAGAGATCCTAGATTTCTGTTTCTAAAACAATTCTTCCTCCATATATGCTAGGTGAAGCTGATCTCTATAGTTTTGCCACTCATCCCAATCTCTCAAGCCTCCCTGGTTTTCGAGGTTCTCCAGCTTGTATTTATAATTTTCAATGACTTTGATGGAGTTAACATTCAAACCAGTTTTTCACTTTAACAGAGCCATTCTCACATTTTTAATCCTACACTAAACACTAAAAAGGGAGGGCCACTCACAAGTAAGTTCCATGCCTTATCTATAGTTTTCTTGAACCCTTCTAAATTGGCCCATCTAGCATCAAATTGGAATCTTCTCACATAAGGGTTGGCAGTGCTAAGAAAATCCAAAACAAGGATACTATGGTCAGAGGAAATTACAGAAACATGCTTAACCAAGGCCAGAGGATTGAGAATACTAAGATAAAAAGATAGAAAGATTATATTTAACTTCTCTTCAATGAAATCATTGCCTTTCTCATTATTAATCCAAGTATAAGGATGTCAACTTATCTTAGGTTCCACTATACCTAGAGTATGAACAAACTCCCTAAAGCCCTGAAAGCTACTATCATCTCTAACAAACACCCCTCTTTTATCCTGATTTGAGAGCAAATCATTAAAATATCCTCCCATGAACCATTGATTACCCCACAACAAACTATGCCTAAGCAACATACTCCATTGCAGTTGTCTTTCCAAAGGATTGGTGCTAATATAAACAAAACACCCTCATAAATGTATCTAATCATTTTTTAAAGTGAACTTAACTTCTATGAAGAAGTCAAAACAACTGATCTCTGAGATATTAATGTTGTTAGACCAATTCAGAATGAGGCCTCCTCTAGACTCAACTGGCTTAACATAGACCCATCTACTATCAAATTTACAATTTCTACAAAATGAAGCAACAAATATTTCATTTTTCTTAGTTTGTAATAAAACACAAAATTTGGGAGGTGGAGCTGCAAGGCCTCTTTTAATTGGGAAACTATAGAGGGTCCTCCCGAACCTCTACATTTTCACACACAAACCTTCATTTTAAACTATGGGACCAGTTGTGACTGGTTTCCTCCACCATTGGACTGATTTGGCTTTCAATCGTTTTCTACTTTTTGATATCAACTTTCAAATTAGAATCCTCTTCCTTTTGTTTTGGCAAAATTTCAAAAGATCTTTTTAGTTACTGCCTTCCCCTTTTTCAATTATCTTTACCCATGTTTCAATTACCATGTTTTCTGACGTAGGGATTCTATCCATTCTAGGGTACCTAACAAATTTCCGTTTTTTCCTTTGAGCTCCCGCCTCCAATTGAGGCAGGTTGAACATCAACTTCAACTAAGACAAAGGGATTCTGAATTTTGTGCAAGTTTTGCTTTTCTGAAACACGAATAAATTCAATACTAGTTAGGAACACCTCCTCATTTAAGCTAATTCTCCTAATCTCATTTTCTTTCTCAGGGTGCTCTCCTGCAACTTCTCTCTCTACCCTTCTCCCAAATTCAGATTTATTGTTTTTGGCTAGAGTTAGAGTTATTATATTCAGCTGAAAATGAAGAATTGGCTTTCAACCATTCTCCAAACTGGCCAAGGTTAAGCATGTTGCAGTTCCAATCAGAATGCCTAATTTTACCACAACTAAAGCACAAGTTTTGGAGATTCTCATACATGAAGTCCACCCATCTGTTTTCTGACTCTAATTTGATGTTCATTCCAAGTAGGAGAGGGTCCTTCAGCTTAATCTCCACCAGAAAGTTTATCATCTAGCCTGAGGAACTTCCATTTCCAGGAGATTTGATATCTAAAACCGTGCCTATGAATTTACCTATCTTGACCCCGTTTCTACTGCGAGCTAATCTAGTGGCAGGTTGTGGGTTCGGATCCAAATCTTGATTCTTTGCTCCTCAGTTGAGAAATCTGTTGAGCTTGGGTTTCAGGCTTTTAACAAGATATATTGACCATCGAAGGTCCAAGTCTTACCATTCAAAATCTTCTATCGATCTTCCCCATTCTTAAAAGGAATTGGAACTTACTTAACCATAGGTTTCTAATCGTGAAAGGCTGTCTCGTTACCCAGATATTTGTTAGGTTGCTTTGAGGCCACCGAAATTCGCTCTTTTATCCCCAAAACTTTCTCCTATCAAACTCAGTTGGCACTCTTTAAGGTCCGACATTGTATCTTCATTAGACAATTCAACTCCCCGAACTTTTTTTTCCAACAGCGCAAACCTTTGCAGTTTTTCAGTTATATCATGATCCATTAGCAAAAAGAGAGAAAACCTGGGGGGCTTACACAGACGAGACAACTAAAACCACGTGAATGAAAAGAAGA